AGTTTGCATCGGTGGGTCCTCGATTTCAAGATCACATCCGGGAAGTTTCACGCATCCTCTGTTCCTGCGGTCTTGTGTATTGGAACTGAACTTAGGCAGCTGATGATGACGTTGCACGAGAACACGAGGACACAAGACCGCTGAAGAACGCATTTAAATTAATATTTTTTACAGTACTGTGATGGTTGGGTTTAGGGTTGTGGTGGGGGTCGACGTTAAAAAAATACAATAAATGTGAAATTTCATAAATAATAGAAATAATTCTCGTTTACTTCCAGCCGCAACCATATCCGATCTAGCAACAACCAAGCTCCGGCAGCATATCCGATCTAGACTTTAACCCTGGAGCTTACCTCCAATCAGAGGGAGCTTGAGCTCCAGCTTCTCCTCATATAAGCTATTTTAATGCGTACACCCAGCCCTAACCCCAACCCTCAGTGACATCATTTGTAGAAGGAGTGCAGCAAGGAGGAGCTGGAGCTCCAGCTGTGAAAAAACAAAACAAAACAATAGCCTAATTATTAACAACTCATGTGAACTGTTGATTTTGACATAGACAGAACACTTTTAGTTTGTTTTTCAATGTAAACATGCACTAGACGGACGTGCATGATATTCATGAGTTGTTAGGAATGAGTTCATGATAATGTGCCCCTCTAAGTAAAGTCATGGCAATAACAGCTCCTGCGTACATGTTAGTTACATTTAGCTAAAACTAAAGCGTTAACTAATACATTAAATAACGAACATGTACTAACAAGTAATTAAGCTAATCATTATTCACTCATGCACAGTAAAAAATGCTTTTCTTACTTAGATTTTTTGTCTTGTTTCTAGTCCAAATATCTAAAAGTTCTTAAATCAAGAAGAATTTTAGACAAGTAAAACATATTGTCTTGTTTTAAGAAATAATATGCCAAAATGAAGTGAGTTTTTCCTTTAATCAACCAAAATAATCTTATCACAAATCGAAAAACGAGGTTATTTTGCTTGATTTAAGGAAAAACTCACTTCAGTTTGGCATATTATTTCTTAAAACAAGACAATATGTTTAGCTTGTCTAAAAATGCTTCTAGATTTAAGAACTTTTAGATATTTGGACTAGAAACAAGACAAAAAATCTAGCTAAGAAAAGCATTTTTTGCAGTGCATGCGTGAATAATGATTAGCTTAATTACTTGTTAGTACATGTTTGTTAATTAATGTGTTAGTTGATGCTTTAGTTTTAGCTAAAAGTAACTAACATGAACGCAGGAGCTGTTATTGCCATGACTTTACTTAGAGGGGCACATTCTCATGAACTCATTGCTAACAACTCATGAATATCATGCACGTCCGTCTACTGCATGTTTATATTGAAAAGCAATCTAAAAGTGTTCTGTCTATGTCAAAATGAACAGTTCGCATGAGCTGTTTATAATTAAGCCATTGTTTTGTTTTGTTTTTTAAAGCTGCAAGTGGTACTCACAGCTGGAACTCCAGCTCCTCCTTGCTGCACTCCTTCTACAAATGATGTCACTGAGGGTTGGGGTTAGGGCCGGGTGTACGCATTAAAATAGCTTATATGAGGAGAAGCTGGAGCTCAAGCTCCCTCTGATTGGAGGTAAGCTCCAGTGTTAAAGTCTAGATCGGATATGCTGCCGGAGCTTGGTTGTTGCTAGAACGGATATGGTTGCGGCTGGAAGTAAAAGAGAATTATTTCTATTATTTATAAAATTTCTCATTTATTGTATTTTTTTAACGTCGACCCCCATCACAATCCTAAACCCAACTATCACAGTACTGTAAAAAA